GGTTTTGCCTTCCACCAATGTGTGACATAGAGCCTGATAGGGAGGAATCTGGTGTGGGACTGATAAAAGGGTCTGATGGGTCCTGCCTAAGAGGTCCTGCCTTATAGAGGGGCATGTGGTCCAGAAGCCTCCACTTTGTAGGGATGATGGAGTCTTGGGACTCTTCAACAGGGAGGTTAGGTTTGTAGCTGGTGCAATACATAAAGCTTATACCTTTAATCCCAGCACTTGAGAGGCAGAGGCAGGCAGATCTCTGTGAGTTCAATGCCGTATTGAGATCCAAAAAAACCCAGACCAAAACAAAACAAAAACCAGATTTTTCTCCATGAAAAAGCTTCAATCATTTATGCAACGGAGGCCAGAGTGGGCAGCTTTATAATGTTTGCCCCAACTGGCCTTGTTTCTTCATCTGTAAAATGGGGTGTCTTGGGGGACATACCTATTTGGGACTGGGGCTCTAGTTCCAGTTGAGTGCTTGCCTAGTATGGAGGAAGCCCTGGGTTCCATCTCCAGCAATATATAAATTGGGTATTGTGGTACAAGTCTGTCGGTAGAGGCAGGAGGAACAGAAGTTCAAAGTTAGGATAGAGATGGCTCAGGGAGTAAAGGTGCTTGCTGCCAAGCCCAGTGACCTGTGTTAGTTCTTTGGGACCCACATAGTGAAAGAGGAGAGCTGAATCCCATAGAGGGGTACACCTCCTGTTAGAGCTTCTCAGTCTTCTCATATTAGTCTGCCTTGTTCATGGAATTCAGTGAGTATGTCTTGAACTCAGCCAGTACCAGGCTGATACCAACTGATTTGTTTGTTTGAGACAGGGTCTCCCTGTAGCCCCAGCTGGCCTGGAACTCACTATTGTAGACCAGGCTAGCCTGGAACTCAACAGAGATCCTCCTGCCTCTGCCTCTGAGTGCTGGGATTAAAGGTGGTTGCCACCACACCCAGTTAAAGTTTTTCTCTTAGACTTTATTGCGTATATTCTTGTATGACTTGGGGGTGTATGTGGCACATGCCCCCTTGGTTGCACTTGAACTCATCAGGATATGACCTTGAATTTCTGATACTCCCGTCTCCACCTTCCACCTTCGACGTGTGCAGTTTTTTTTTCATGTGTATGCGTGTATTGCCTGCATGTAGGTAAGTACACCCATGTTGTGCAATGCCCAAGGAGGTCAGAAGAGGGTGTTGGATCCCCTGGGACTGGAGTTATGGACAGTTGTTAGCTGCCACGTGGGTGCTGGGATTCGAACCTGGGTGTTCTGGAAGAACAACCAGTGTTCTTCACCGCTGAGCCATCTCTCCAGCCCCAAAGTGCACAGTTTTATGCAGTGCTAGTGCTAGGGACTAAACCCAGAAACTTGTGTATACTAGACAAGTGCTCTACAGACTGAGCTATAGCCCCAGCTCCTTAGTGCTGACTTAGTGAATGAACACAGTTGTTACAGCAGTCTTCCAAAGAGGAACTGTTGGCCTGAAAATTAAAAAACAAAAAACATGGTCTCACTATGTAGCCCTGAACTCATTGTATAGACCAGGATAGCCTTGTGTTTGTGGATGATCTTCTTGCCTCTGCCTTCCAGGTATTGAGATTACAGGCATGTATTAGCATGCCTGGCTTCGTTTTATTTAAAGATTCTTTTTTTTTTTTTTTTTTTTTTTTTTTTTTAAAAAAAAAAAAAAAAAAAAAAAAAAAAAGAGGACGATAAATCTTTCACTGTGATATATCATATGTAGACGAGGCTGGCCTTGAACTCACAGAGATCCGCCTGCCTCTGCCTCCCAAGTGCTGGGATTAAAGGTGTGCACCACCACGCCCGGCGATTCATTTTTATTTTATGAGTGTTTGCCTACATGTATGTATGTGTACCACATGCATACCTGGTGCCGGTGGAGTCCAGAAGAAGTTGTTGAATCCCCTAGAGCTGGAGTTACAGATAGTTGTGAGCCACCATGTGGGTCCTGGAAACTGAACTCATGTCCTCTGCAAGAGCAGTCTGTACTCTTAATCATTGAGCCGTTTCTCCAGCCTCCACCCCTTTTTTTGAGTCAGGGTCTCACTCTGTAGCCCAGGCTGTTCTAGAACTTGTGGCCACCCTCCTTGCTTTGCCTGTCAAGTGCTGTGATTACAGGTATGCCACCTCACCTGCTTTGCTTTTTCTTTTCTTTGTTTTGAGACAGGGTCTTGCCACGTATACAGCCCAGGCTAGCCTGGGACTGGCCTTGAACTTGTCATCTCCTGGCTTAGCCTTTGGAGTGCTGGGATTACAGGGGTTTGCCCCCATGCCAGGTATTGGCCTTGTTTTATACTAGGTCGTGGCTTGTGTGTGATGGAGCTAGATTTTAAACTGAACTTGACTTCCCTCCTAGTACTTCTCCTCTCCCTTATCATTTCCTGGCCTTTGTACTGACTTCATCCATGGTTTGTTTCTGAGCTAATTTTGTACTCCAGTGCTTTGTGGACAGGCACTAATTCACAGAATGGGGTCAGTGAGAAGAACCCTGGGCTGAAGGAGCAGGAGGTCTCCTGCCTCTGCTGTGTGATCTTGGAAGGTTCTCTGCTCTTCTGATGTCCAACTACTAAAGTAAAAGAAAGTTCTTTAGAAAGTGCGGGGCTTATCTTGGGCATGAGAGGCTGTTGCCATGAGCTGCTGTGATTCTCTGGGCATCTCTCTGGTGTCACATTCGGTGCTGTGTCCTGAGGCTAGCCTCTGTCCCTGACACCCTCACAGGTAGCCCTGGACTCCTGTAAGAGTACTGGAGGGACTACTGAGGAACTGAGCTCTTTCCTCAGGGAATTACCCCCCTAACCAGGAGGGCTTAGGCGTGGGCACTATGCCAGGTTTGATCTGGGCCTCTCCATCTGGCAGCTAGGACCCTTCCCTTAGCTCCAGAGCACAAACATTTCGACTGGATTTGGGGGCAGAGTGAGTAACCCGAAGCTAGAATTGTGGACTTCTCCCCACTACTTCTAATAGCAGAGCAAAGCACCCAGTCTTTGGGCCTCAGTTTCCCCACATCCTGCTTGGGGGAGGGGACGTGGGATTAGTCAATGGGCGGGACCAGCGGTAAAGGTGGGAGGAGGATTTGGAGCAGCCCCTCCCCCTCCTCTGCCGGAACTGTGCAATACTGTGCTCCTGGCTGTCTGGAGCTTGCTTTGCAGCTCTGCGTCCCCTTGGGGCTGTGCTGTGCTGTGCTGAAGGTGCCTTGTGCTCTGGGGAGGTTAAAGCAGGGGACGGTCCGCTGCAAGCATGGTGGTGTTCCTGGGCCGCCACCTCCCGGCACTTCTTGAGGTCTTTAAGAAGGGTGAGTGGGTGTGGTGGTGGGGGGCAGGGAAAGGGTCCCTACAGCTCCCTTTGCCAGACCCTTAGATGGAATGGGGATCAGAGCTGGGAAGGGTAATAAGGTAGAGGGGGTGCTGGTCACCAGGCTGGCTGGAGGCTGTGTCCGCTGCTATCCTTTGTCCAGCGCCTTTGTTGCTGCCTTTGTCTGAGTACTGCTTGTGCTTGGGAGGATGGACCCAGGTGTCTCTGACCTTGAAGTCTGCCACGCTAGGGCCAGACTGCCTTCCTGTTGGAGTACCCACTCATTACTGGGCATAGCTCAGTACCCCAGTTTAGAGAGAGGGCAGCAATGGAGAGGATATGTGGGAACAGGCAAGGAAAGGAAAGTTTACCCCTGGAAGTTGGGGAGCTTGTGGTTGAACCACATTTAGAGGGGGGCGTAGGGACCATGTGCACCCCTTTTCCTAGGTAGACCTGGATTCTAACAGTAGGGGCTACAGCTTCTTGCACTTTGGGAGGTCAGAGGTTCCTTCTGGGACTCTAGAGTGTAGTCCTGGCTCTGACTAACTCTCATTTGCTGTGTGACCATGGGCAAAACATTTCCCATTTGAACCCGCTTTTCCACTTGGAAAATCATAGGGTTTGGGGAGACATCTGCGACCTCTTGCGGTGGGGGTGTCTTAGCTCTGATCTCGTGGGATTCCTGGGGAGGACCCTCAGTGCTGAGGAAGGGAGATGGCAGGTGTCACCCTGTTCCTGGGGCAGAGCCCTTTAAAGGGTTTGATTTGTTTCTGCCTCTCTACAAGGTGCTGCCAAGGTCATATGACCCTCCCAGTAAGTACTTTTGCTTATGTTGTGGGTTTCATTTAAAAGGGGCTGGGACTGCAAAGTGCTGACACAGCCCCCTATCAGGATTAGGTGACCAGCCCATCTGTGGGCGGAGCCTGTAACAGGATCCTCTGTAATGGATCCCTGGCTCCTCTGCACCAAGGGCCAGGCCAAGGCCTTCAGAAGAGGGCATACCTGGGACTGGTCCCCCAAGAGAGGCTAAGCTTCCCTGTGGGGTCTGATCCCTCTTCTCCCCTCCCCTGCTCATCTTTCACCAGAGGGCAACCATATGGGTAAGTAGGTATCCCCCAGTCTATCTTCCCCTCAGGGTTTTCTGGGAATTTGGTTATGACCTGTCAGCTCCCTGGTTTTCCCATGGCATCTTCTCCTTGGACTTGGGCCAAGTGAATGTTTGAAGAGGTTGGTTTGTTTTCCTTCAAAGTGAAGCTTCAGGTCTCAAGACAAGAAACTATTTGCTATGGGCTATGTTTGTATATTAGGAGTGTCTTGTGTGAAATCCCAAGTGACCTGTGGATACACAGTTGTGTGTATACTTAGATACTGCTTGTATGCATATAGAATGACCCCAGTGGATCTGTAGAGGCTGGGTGTGGGTATGCATGTGGGTTTATACTTAGGTAGTGTTTATATGTATACATCTCTGAAGCCTGTGGGTGTTGTACGTGTCCTGTGTGTGGTGCCTTGTGTGGGCCCATTATGTGATGTGACTCAGATACATGTACCCTTGGGGGTAGTTTGTGTATGTATATGGGGCTTTGTGTGGAGGAAGAAGGACATTGTGTGTCTGCACTGGATACCTCTGTTACAGATGTGCTTGTGCATCTCCAGGGCCCACATGTCTTTGGGCCTTACTTCCCCCTCCATCCTATTAGGCTCTGCCAAGGCTGAAAGTGACAAACGTCAGGGTGCAGGGCCCAGCCAGGGGCTAGGATCTTTAGTGGATGAGCACCAGGACAATGTCTTCTTCCCCAGTGGGAGACCACCTCATCTGGAAGAGCTGCACACACAGGCTCAGGAGGGGCTCCGCTCCCTACAGCACCAAGGTAACCTTCCCTCTCCATGCTCCAGTGCCCTTCTCAGCTCCTGAGGTGAGGGGCCTGGGCTAACACACCCTTCTGGTGTCTTCCAGAAAGACAGAAACTGAGCAAGGGTGGCTGGGACCATGGAGACACCCAGAGTATCCAGGTAAGCCCTGTCCCCCAGCTCAGTCCTGCTCTTTCCCTCTGGCTTAACTTCTGGAAAAGCATGGCTTTGGACCTTTCTGGTCTGTTTCCCATCTGAATCTTGAAGAGCTAGAATAAATGACCTCTGATAGCTAATCCAGGCTTGCTCCAGTCCTGGGTGATGTTGGGGGAATCTGTGAGCAAAAGTTCCCATGGGAGGCCCAAGGAAGCAGCCCACCCAGGCTCATCTTCTTTCTCTAATAGTCCTCCCGGACCGGGCCAGATGAAGACACCATCTCCTACTGCAGCCAGAAGTCGTATGCGACTGAGAGCTCCACAGCAGAGGACGCTCACTCCGTCCGCTCAGAGATGATCCAACGCAGAGGTGTCTTGTCACCAGCTGGGAATCCTAGGCAGGGGAGAGGGGTGACAGGCACTATCATGTCCCAGCACCTGCAGCATCCTCTTTTCCTCATAATCCCAGGCTTTGTGATTCAGTGAATTTAGGAGACAGTACCCTTTTATTCAGTGTATACATTCATAGAAAACAGCATAGTTAAGATTTGAGAAACCTAGGTTTGTGGTTGCTTAGCCAGCTATATGACCTTGGGCAAATCCTTAACCTCGCTGAACTTCTGTTTTATGATTTTTTTTTGGTCTTTTTGAGTCTGTTTAAGATTTAAAAAAAAAAAAAAAATCTTATTACTTTTAAGCCAGGAGTGGTGGCTCACACCTATAATCCCAGTACTGCAGAGGCAGAAGCAGATGGATCTCTGTGAGTTCGAGGCCAGCCTGGTCTACATAGTGTGTTCTGGGACAGCTGGGGCTACAGGGAGACCCTTTTTCAAAAAGACCCCCCCCAAAAATCTTTTATTATTTCTGTTATGTGTATTGCCTGCACATAGGTAGATATACCCGTGTCATACAATGCTTGCAGAGGTCAGAGGAGGGCATCAGATCCCTTGGAATTGGAGTTATGGATGGTTCTTAGCCACCACGTGGGTGCTGGGAATCAAACCCGCGTCCTCTACAAGAGCAGTCAGTGCTATTTATTTATTTATTTATTTATTTATTTATTTATGTTTGGGCAGGGAGACAGGGTCTCCCTGTAGCCCCAGGTAGCCTGGAACTCTCTATGTAGACCAGGCTGGCCTTGAACTAACAGAGGTCTGTCTCCCTTTGCCTCTCAAGTACTGGGATTAAAGGCATGTGCTCTTAACCACAAAGCCATCTCTTCAGGTCCCCTGTTAAAGATTTCTATGAAAAGTAAAGGATTGGGCTTGGGATATAGCCCAGTTGATAAAAGTTACTTTCCCTAGTGTGCAGGAAGTCCTGGGTTCAGTTCCTGGTACCACATAAAGCAGTCATCCCAGCACTTGGGAGGTAGAGGCAAGAGGATCAGAACTTCAGGGTCATCCTCAGCTATATAGTGGGTTGGGGGCCAGCATGGACTACCTGAAACCCCCATCTCAAAACAGAAAAAGCCAAAGGATTGGCTAGGAATTGCCTCCGTGGTAGAGGGTATGTGTAAGGCCCTGAATTCAATCTCTAGTAGCACACCCAAAAAAAAAAAAAAAAAAAAAAAAAAAAGAAAAGATATTAAGAGCATTTACCTTATTGGAATGAATACCAAGCATTTAACATGCTGACATGGAAATGTATTACTAAGTAAGAAATGGTGTTGGCTAAGTGGAAATGGAAATGATCATTGTTGAATGAGAGGAGTTTCCAGAAGTCTTAAACCTCTCGGTTGCCTGTAATTCTTTGACTACAGAACTTTTGCCCAGAGCTCTAACTAGTAGTTATCAAAGCAGTGCTCTGTAGAATGGAGAGTTCTGCTCTAATGAGTTTTCTCTCTCTGGTCTGGCTCTTAGGCTCCACTTTCCGACCCCATGACTCATTTCCCAAATCTGGAAAGACAGGGCGCCGCAGGGAGCGGCGGAGCACAGTCCTGGGGCTGCCACAGCATGTGCAAAAGGAACTCGGTGAGCCCTTGTTAGGTGGGCAGTGGTAGTGGAGGGGGGCCAGGCCAGCCCCTCTGCTGACGCCATCTCCTTACCCATTTCAGGCCTGCGGAACCAGCGTGAGGCACCAGGTACTCCACAGCCTCCTGGTCCACGGGATGCTGTCCGCATTCCCACAGTGGATGGTCGCCCTGCAGGCCTGGCCTTAAGGACAGGGGTCCGGGTGTCCCTGCAGGCCCTGGAGGCAGAAGCAGAGGCGGGTGTTGATACAGAGGCCATGCTACAGCGTCACATCGACCGTATTTACCGGGATGACACACTCGTTGGCCGGTCCACAGGAACCCGGCCGCCTCCATTGACCCGGCCCATGTCTCTTGCAGTGCCTGGACTGACGGGAGGGGCAGGACCTCCAGAGCCACTGAGTCCAGCCATGTCTATCTCGCCCCAGGCCACCTACTTGTCGAAGCTGATCCCACATGCTGTCTTGCCACCCACAGTGGATGTGGTGGCCCTGGGCCCCTCCAGCCTGCGCACTTTGAGCCGCTGCAGCCTGGTCTCGGCCAGTCCAGCTTCTGTTCGCTCACTGGGCCGCTTCTCCTCAGCCTCAAGTCCATGGCCCCGCAGTCGCCATGCTTCCTCTTCCAGTGACACCTGGAGCCACTCTCAATCCTCTGAGACCATCGTGTCTGATGGGTCCACCCTGTCCTCTAAGGGGGGCTCTGAGGGCCAGCCAGAGGGCTCTGTGGCTAGCAGTAATGTGGTACCCCCTCCTCCAGGGGGTAGTGGGAGGGGCTCCCCCAGTGGGGGCAGTACTGCTGAGGCCTCAGACACAGCCAGCATCCGCAGCAGTGGGCAGTTGTCTGGCCGGAGTGTGTCCCTGCGAAAGCTGAAAAGGCCTCCCCCACCACCTCGCCGGACCTACTCCCTCCACCAGCGGAGCTCAGCAGTACCTGATGGGCCCTTGGGGTTACCACCCAAGCCTGAGCGGAAGCAGCAGCCACAGTTGCCCCGGCCGCCCACCACAGGTGGGTCTGAAGGAGCAGGAGCAGCACCTTGCCCACCCAACTCAGCAGGCAGCTGGGTCTCTGGCTTGTCTCCAGGTGGTTCCAGGCGCCCTCCACGTTCTCCAGAACGAACACTTTCACCTTCCAGTGGATACTCAAGCCAAAGTGGTACCCCGACCCTCCCTGCCAAGGGTCTGGCAGGTGCCCCTGCTTCCCCAGGCAAGGCTCAACCTCCTAAGCCAGAGCGAGTCACATCTCTTCGATCTCCTGGGCCCTCTGTGTCCTCTTCCCTCACGTCTCTGTGTTCTTCTTCTTCAGACCCTACTCCCTCAGACCGTTCTGGCCCACAAATGTCAACCCCATTGGGTGACAGGTTTGTCATACCTCCTCATCCTAAGGTGCCTGCCCCCTTCTCTCCACCTCCTTCTAAGCCCAAGAGCCCTAAGCAAGCTGTCCCTGCTCTGGCTACCACCGTTCTGGCTCCTGGGCTAGTTTCTACCATTGACACCAGTCCCGTACCCCCTTCTACTCAGACAACCCTGACTCCACCCCAGGAGTCTCCCATTGCTTCCAAAGACCAGTCACCCCCACCATCCCCACCCCCATCTTATCATCCACCCCCGCCACCTAGTAAGAAGCCAGAGGTAGTTGAGGAGGCTTCACCTCCTCCAGAGACTACTGAGGACCCCCTTCCAGATCCTAACTGGCCACCACCACCCCCTCCAGTACCTGAGGATCAGGACCTGTCCATGGCTGACTTCCCCCCACCTGAGGAGGCCTTCTTTTCTGTGGCTGACCCTGAGCCTGCAGGCCCTCTGGACCTCAGCAGCTCCCTGGCTGCCTCCCCCTCAGCTGCTAGCTCTTTCCAGAGCCCTCCCCAGAGTACCCCAGCCCCTCCACCAGCTCCTCTAGTTCCTCCAGCACCTCTAGCCCCACCTCCAGCTAGTGCTGTTCCAGAACCTCTGGCCAAGCTCCCTCAGAAGGAGTCTGTAGGCTGTGGGAAGAGCAGTGGGGCTCCCAGGGAGGATGCTGGTGCACCCCTGGTCACACCCTCACTCCTGCAGATGGTACGCCTCCGCTCGGTAGTTGCCCCCACAGGGGTTCCAAATCCACTTCCAGGGCCATCAGCTCCCCAGAAGCCACTGCGAAGAGCTCTGTCGGGGAGGGCCAGCCCAGTGCCTGCTCCCCCCTCCTCTGGACTCCATGCTGCTGTCCGACTCAAGGCCTCCACCCTGGCTGCCAGTGAGGGCCCTGGAACTGCTCAGCCCAATGGACCACCCGAAGCAGAGGCACGGTCTCCATCTGCTGCGTCCACAGCTAGCTTCATCTTCTCCAAGGGCACTAAGAAACTGCAGCTTGAGCGTCCTGTGTCTCCTGAGGTCCAGGCTGATCTTCAGCGGAATCTGGTGGCTGAACTTCGGAGCATCTCAGAGCAGCGGCCACCCCAGGCCCAGAGGAAGCCTTCCAAGGGTCCTCCACCAGTGGCCCGCAAGCCCTCCGTGGGAGTCCCCCCTCCATCCCCTAGTTTTCCTCGGGCTGAATCCCTTACTTCTCCATCCACCAATGGGTTCCCTCACACTGAGGACAGGACTAAGGGGGAGCTGGCAGAGAATGGCGATGCACAGCTGGCGGGTACTGAGAACAGGAGCCCCTCTGGTTCAGGTACAGTACACAGAAATGCAAAATAGGTATCTGTGGTCCCACTCTAGGGGGACATGCTCTTGCATCTAAAAACTGTTCTGTTCTTGGGATGTCTGGGATGGGTGAACTGTCACCATTAAGCTCCAGGGGTAGGAGCTTGGGGAGCACTCTGGTAGCAGACCTGAGTAGATTCCAACGTTGCCACTTCATCTAGCCCAGCTATGTTGTGAAATGGGGCAGTAATACCTGTCTAAAATGTGCAGCTCAGTACTGCTGGTTCGTCAGTAATGTGAGATGATACAGAAAGGTTGAGTGAGGATGTGTCTTGGGAGACTTGCTAAGTGTCTGTTTCCTCACAGATCCACAGAAAGAGCTGGTCTGACCATCACACTCAACTGGCACTGCTGACCCATCCCAGGAATACAATCTCTCAGGGATCTGAGCAGTTCTAAGGATGAGAGGATATGGCACACAACCTAAGAGAACATGCCTGCAGCCTTAATCTCCGCAGCCTTCGATGTTTATGCAAGCCTGGTGTTGCCCATCCTCCAAGTCACCCAGCTCTCATGCCTTTCTTGAATGGATTCACTTTCAACAGCTGCCGCTTCAGCTTTGGCCTTTGCCTCATCTTGAAGGAGGTAGCTGGTGGGAGTGGGTGGCTGCGCCCCCTGCTGGCCCTAAGGCCAAAGAGGTGGGAGCAGAGCACTTGTTTCTTTTTTTTCATGTTGGAATCATGTATACTGTAGTCTGGAATCAAAGCACTTTTACAAAGTGGCTACATGTCCATCCTCCAGGGCTCATGAAACCACATTCCAAGGGCCTGTTTACATGGTGGCAGCATCAGCCAGCCCCTGCTAGGACCAATCTGTTCCCTCTGCCAATTCAGTTTGCTCCTTTCCTTGGTTCTTGGAGATGGGCAAGTCATTTATTCCCCCAAGCTTCCCCACGCTGGTGGGAGTGGGGCTGTGGAATTCCAAAGCACAAAAGGTGCAGTGGGGGCTAGCCTTCCTGTGCCTCAACTTACCACCAACCACTCTCCTGCCTTCCAGTTCTGCCAGGTGCTCCTTACAGGGGACAAGTAGGAGACTGTCAGGACAGAGGGAGGTCTGCAGGCACTGGCTCAGAAAGCAAAACTACCAGAGTAGGAAGCCGTCTTGGGCTGCCCTGACACTTGATTGGGTGGGGGCAGATGGGTACAACTTCAGAGCCAGTTGTGTCCACTTGAGCGTGGTAGGGAATACTGAAGAGGAGGGCCTGGCAGAGGAGAGCTTATTTGGGCAGTAGGCCGAGGTCTGGCCTCAGACTTCTTCTCTGACCTGTCTCTACTCTTTGGTGCATGTCCTTTCTGCAGCTGCCTTCCAGGCAGGTGGCTCCAGTGGAGGGAGCTGATGCTGAGTGGCAAGGATGGGATGCCAAAGGTGCATTTTACCCCATTCTAACCTAGTCATTAAAGGGGTAACTCAGTGCTCCTAGGGAGCAGGCCAGTGGCTATCCCCCAGATAGCAGCCTATGCTACTGATTTCTCTTCCCAGAATTTTGATGACTTCTGTTTTCAGCCTGTTCCACCTCTAAGTAAGCTGGGGTTCCTATCAGCCCTGGTGGCTGCACAGGGCTGGCCCCTAGAACCTCCTTTCCAGGGCCACCTCTTGAGTTTCTTCAACAGTGACTTGGGCTTGAGCCTAGCCAAGGCACCTTGCTTTTAGCTTCTCTACTACCAAGGAGAGAGTACACATTACCCTGTTATTGACTTTCCTGTCAAGAAATGGGAGGTTGCAGTGAGAGCCCAGGTTCCCTTGGCCCTCTCTCTAGGTTGTTTGTCACTACTGTTTTCTCCCTATAGCTACAAACCAACATCCTTCCCCTGCCCTGTGGGTGATGGGGAACTGCTGCTGGTGATGCTGCCCAGTGAGTTGGGGAGGGAGGACAATCAGCAAGCACTGTTCTGCCCCAGGATCCGGGGCTGGTCAAAGCCCATGAAACCAGGCCCTGCAGTAGCCTGGAGGCTACTGGGGGTGGGAGGCAGCCACCTTCTGTCTTTACTCCTCCAGTGTTACTGGAGCTCTTGTCCTTACTTAGGATCTTCTAGACTTGTTTCCCCACTGGGTGGGCCAGAGTACAAGGGTGAGAAGAGGCAACCTTTCTTGTCCTCTGTGTAGATGAGCTTGACTTGTACAAATGGGGAGACCAAAAGCCTCTGATTTTTAGTTTGCATAAAAATGTTGAAGAGAGAAATATATATATATTTCTTTAAATTTGAGTCTTTGATATATCTATATAAACAATCCTTTCCCTCTTTCTCCCTATCCCCAAGCTTGAGTGAGACACGTGAAAAGGCTGTGTTTCATTAAAAAGTGTTAAATGATTGAAATTTGGCTGTGACTGCTACTTTTTCTCCCTCGTTCTAATGGGTCAGATATGGACAATGGATGATGGTACCAGGTGACATGTGGTGAACAAGGTCTGAGGAAAGCAAAGCATCTCATACAACAGCACAAAAACTTAACCATCAAGCTGATGAACTACAGAGAGACCTGGCTGCAGCGGGTGGGAGGGACATGACAGGTCTGGGCCCACAGTGAGAAGGGAAAGTGTCCTGTAAGCCTTAGACCCACGAGTGGACAACTTCTGCTTAGTACTTCGGAAGGGAAACTCACGAGTATGTACCATCCTCCCTTTACTGGTGCAGGAGAGCAGTGGCTTCACATTTGTGTTCTAAGATGGTCTGGCTTAAGACAGAACATATCCAGAAACTGTCATTCATATATTTTATTTGAATTTGACAGTGGTGGTTAGTGATGTGACTGAGACGCCTTATGAAGTATCCTACCCTCTATGAAGAAAGCACCACACTGTGCCAGTCCACTCTGACCCTGATGCTAACACACAGCAGGTTTAGGGAATGTCCCAACCTAGCTGATCAAAGGAAATTTCAATAGCACTGGGGTGGGTCCTGCCACCAGTGCCAGGCCTCAGGGTAGGCAGGCTTGAGAAAGCTGTCAGCTCTGGAAGCTTGGTAGACCACTAGGTTCTCTGTTTCTCTTTTCAAATCCCACAATTTCCTGTTGGGGAGCAGCTGTAATTAGCCCAGTCCAGGCACCAGAGCCCAGCTAGAGGCACAGATGCTAGGATAACTCCTAGGGAACCTGGGAACCAATGTTTTTCCAATTACAAGGATTGTGGCATAAACTTTTTCTAGGAGTTATATTGAAACCAGACTTCGTAATCAGCTGGCAAGGGAAGAAGTTACAGCTGGTCTGCTACTGCTGGTCTACTGCTGCCCAGCCTCGTCCAGCCTCCTTACCCTAGGGGGTTGGTTTCATTGCAGCAGGGTGGGGATGATCCCAGATGGGATCCCAGAAATGAGCTGTCCCCTGTTGAGTTTGGGAACTCATCAACAGTTCCAGACCTGTGGCTTCAGTGTCCTGAGAGATGATGGGTGAATAGGTGAAACGAATTGGGACAGCAGACAGGATGGTGGGAGAGGAAGATGCTGGCTGGCTAGCTAATGTTACCCCCTTTTAGTGATTTACAGGAGATGAACCCCAGCTTGGTCATGAAGTTGGTTTGCTTCCATTGTGCAATGCAGTCCTCAGAAATTTTAAAGTCGGCCTGGATGAGACAGGAAAAAAAAATGGGTGGTGGAACACAAAACTCTTACCTTATTAAATGGTTAACCTAGCCCAACTTTACTGAAGGAGTAGCTTGCCAAAGTTTCCTGTCTTATCTTTTGATAAACACTTTTTTTTTTTTTTTTTTTTTGGTCTTTTTTGAGACAGGGTCTCCCAGTAGCCCCAGATGGCCTGGAACTCACTATGTAGACCAGGCTGGCCTCAAACTCACAGAGATCAGCCTTCCTCTGCTTCTTGTGTGCTGGGACTACAGGCATGTACCACCACACCCAGGTAACATGTTGATTTTTTAAATATTTTATGCCCTTGGAGGACAGAAGAGGCTGTTGGATCCCCTGAACTAGAGTTATGGGTAGTTGTTAGCTGCCATGTGGGTGCTGAGATTCAAACCTGGGTCTTCTGCAAGAATAGTCAGTGCTCTTAACTGCTGAGCCATCTCTCCAGTCCCAACATATTTTTTTATGAATAGATACAAAGACCTATATACTGTGACCAGAAGGAAACAATCATGACTTATTTTAGGAGTGATGGAAGGACTGGAGATCTGTGTGTATGCTTTTGTTTTGTTTGAGAGAGGGTCTCACTATATAGCCTTGGATGGCCTGGAAGTCCTTATGTAGGTCAGGCTGGCCTTGAACATGGTGTGAGTCTCCTACCACTGCCTCCTGACTATTGGGATTAGAGATGTGCACCACCTATCCAGCGGGGACTATGGATATTTTCTTCATTTTTAGCCCCGCATTTAAGACATTTTCTACAATGTTTGATGAGCAGAGCTAATTGTTTTTGCCGGCACGGCCCAAATACTTAGAACAGTGCCTGTCACATATATTCTGGACTTGATACTTATAGAATAAATAAATGAATGAATGAACTTAGGGACAAATGGTGCAGGCCATATGTGAGTCAGTGTCCAGAAGGCAGGAGAGTGAGGGCAGGAGAAAATCTGGGAGGATCTGGGTTGTGGCTTCATCACTTCTTCCATTTATTTGCTGCAATATGGAGGATCAAACCCAGAGCCTTGTGCTACCTCCTCTGCCCTTGGCTCCAGCACTTCTGCTGACCCCAGTGCTTTGCCAGGTAAAATGGGGATATCCTTCGGCTCCTGTTCCAGATTGCAGACCAAATGAGGCAATGTCTTAAGTCCCTCACTCAGTACTTCAAGGTGACAGTGCTCAGTGTATACAGGGTCCTTCTGAGACCCCCAAGTCCCTCATATTCGGATTGGAATGAAGAAGACACAGGGGCTCAGGTGTAGGAACACTCACTGGAAAAGAAGCAGCTGTGGGTTCAGTGAGAGCATACTTGGGACAGCCCAGGCAAGGAGGAACAGCAATGCTTTACCTGAAGTTTCTCGAAAACTTTCTTCTTGGGCTTGAGCTCTTCATCTGGTTGGCCCTTCTCGTAGCCCTTTACAAACACATGCTCACCAGGAGCAGAACCTGCAGGGGGGTCCAGAGGTTCAACCTGGCGGCTCGCCCCTTCTCTGGGGAGACAGAAAGGGAAAAAAAAGGTGAGACTGGATGGTTCCAACAGCTGTGGAGGCCAGTTACTGGGCCCTAAAGGGATTTAGGATCCTCAGTGCCATGACCCAGAGGTCTTCATCACTTTTCCACATCTCTGGACATCACTTGGTTTAAATTAACCAAGCTGTACCAAATTCCTTTTCCCAGAGAGAGACCAAAATCTGGGTCTCCAGCAGCAATAATAGTCAATCAGAATGGGTTTGAATCCTGGCTTCTCTTACTAAGTAGTGAGACTTAGTATGTACACACTTTCATTTCTGTTTTGGTCTTTTTGAGACAGGGTTTCCCTGTAGACCAGGCTGGCCTTGAACTCAGAGATCTGCTTGTCTTTGCCTCCTGAGTGCTGGGATTAAAGGTATGTACCACATGCCCAGCTCATTTCTGGTTTTTGATCTTTATTTTTTGAGATGGGGTCTCATGTAGCTCAGGCTATACCTGAATATAGATAAGATGACCTTGAACTTTTGGTTTTCTTGCCTCTATTTCTCCAGTGCTAGGATTACAGGTTGTGCGAGATTACACTGACTTTTATGTGGTGTGGTGTTGGGGATCAAACCCAAGACTTCATGCACATTAGGAGAGCACTCTATTTGACTGGGCTACACCCCTTGCATCATTTTTTTAATCTTAACCCTTTCTGTAAGTCAGGTTTCAGTCATAGCAGTTACACAGCAACTTCTTCATGCCTCATCTTTTAGCATCAAAGAGATGCATTTTCTTAGGGCTTCCATGTGGCACAATTCACAATCACAGGGCCCAATTCCTCATTCTTGACAACCCCATCCCCCTCACAAGTCCTCACTCACATAGAAGCACACAGTAGCATGCCTTGGGATTCCACTCCTCTCATCTTCTGAGGTTTCAGATTGCACAGCACCACCACCAGCCTGTCCTGTAGCTCCTGTTTGGGCACAAACTGCACCAGGCCGCTCACCACAGTCCTGGGCTCTGCTTCCCCCATGTCAATCTTCTCCACATATAGGCTGTCTGCATCTGGGTGCTGTCAGCAAGAGATTTTTTTTTTTGGTCTTTTTGAGACAGGGTCTCCCTGTAGCCCCAGCTGTCCTGGAACTTACTATGTAGATCAGGCTGGCCTTGAACTCACAGAGATCCGCCTGCTTCTGCCTCCCGAGTGCTGGGATTAAAGGCATGCGCCACCATGCCTGGCAGCAAGAGATTCTTATCGGGGCTGGTGAGATGGCTCAGTGGGTGCCAAACTGGACCACTTGAGTTGGATCCCCAGGACCTACATGGTGGAAGGCAATACACTCATACACATAAAAAATTAAACAATTAAAGGTAGGCGTGGTGGTGTACACCTTTAATCCTAGCACTCAGGAGGCAAAGGCAGGTAGATCTCTGAGTTCAAGGCCAGCCTGGTCTACATAGAGAGTTCCAGGCTAGCTGGGGCTACAGGGAGACTTGTCAAAAAATCAAAACCAAAACAAAACAAAATAACACCCTCCCCCAAATTTATTTTACATGTATGAGTGTTTTGCCTGTATGTATGGAGGTGCACCATATGTGTGCAATGCTCGTCGAGGCCAGAAGAGGGTGTCGGATCCCCTATGGAATTACAAACAGTTGTTAGCTGCCATATGGGAACAGAAGCAGGGTCCTCTGCAAGAGCAGCCAGTGCTCTTAACCACCGAACCATCCCTCTAGCCCCTTTTTTTTGTTTTTTTTCCCCCCAGTGACAGCTTGTTTTAATATGGTGAAGCAGAAGTTTTTGAGACAAAGTCTGACTATGTAGCCAAAGCTCCTGCCTCAGCTTCCTGAGTTCTGGGATTACAGGTGGGTATTACCCACCTTTGAGAACAGGCCTTGGAATATTTTAATCCCTAAGAGGATGGATTTGAGGAAATGAACCTAAGGTTTGTGGGAAAATCTCTCACAGAGATTTAAGTGGCCTGGGCTGCTGGTGGCTATACCACTATGGTTCACATATGTCACCAACAGGTCCCAGATGGTTAGGAGGTGGGAGTGGACTAATTTTGGTTCACCATTGGAGGTAGGAGTCCAGCAGCCACCTCAGGCATGCTGTCTCATGGTTGGGATGGTCAGGTCTATAAAAGTGCAAAGCAAATCAATGCCAGGAGAAAAAAGGCCCAGAACAATGGCTCCCAGCCTCCTGCCACCACTGCCTAGGGAGCAGAAACTGGTCTAAGACAAGGCCTGCAGCTTGCCCAGCAAAGATGGCGCACACTAGGTGAGTCCATCCAGCCAGATTTAATGGATAAACGAGTTCCCTCTAACATTCTGCACTCCCAAGTTTCTGGCTGAGTGTAGTGTAAGGTTGAGGCTGCCTGGAATTAGACACCTGGATTCTGACTAGTAATGTGACCTCAGGGATGTTCCTTCCCCTCTCCAGGCCAGGTTTTCTCCAAATGGAAACATACAAACCTAACCCTTGTCTGCCTCTCTGAGGTGTGATGAAAATTGAGTACCTTCTCCACACTGATGATCTTCCCCACACGGATATCCAGCCGGGATGGGATGATCTCCTCTGGTTCTGAATTCTTGGCAGGGCCTTTGGCAGTGGGCTCTGGGAGCAAGAAGAATCCCATGAAGTCAAGGCTCACCTCCTTCCCAACTTACCAATGGCTGGTCAGTACTGACCCCACCAGACGAGGAGAATCCCAAAACCTATCCACTGAGTTATATTCTTCTTTATTATTTTATTTATTATTTTCATCTTATGAGTGTATTGCCTGCATGTGTAATGCCTGAAGAGGTCAGAAGAGGGCATCGAATCCCATGGAACTGGAGTTACGGACAGCTGTTAGCCACCATGTGGGTGCTAGCTAGGAATCAAACCCTGGTCCTCTGCAAGAGCAGCCAGTGGTCTTAACTGCTGAGCCATCTCTCTAGTCCCCCCCGCCCCCTTTTTATTTTGAGACAGGGTCTCACTATGTAGAACTGGCTAGCCTGGAACTCCCAGAGATCCACTTGTCTCTGCCTCCTGAGTGCTGGGATGAGTTCTTCCAAGAAGTCCTGCTGGCTCTTCTGAGACTCTTCCCAAGCAGTTGTGAACAGACTATCACTATATGTACCAACTAGAGACAGCTGTCAGGAGGCAGGTTTAGTCAACACAAACTGGGAGATCAAAGTGCAGGTCTCACACCATCATCCCTGCAGTGTTGCTGCAACCATTTCAGTGTCAACCAAACCAAGACAAAGGACCTGGGTGTCACTGGGATAAGACATTCCTCTACTTCAGACCCTTGTGTTCCTAGGCCCTCAACTTAAGACAGGTATATTTCTGAGACCCAATGACTGGATCTCTCTCCTGATGCTGTTACCTCAGCCTGGCCCCTCCTTTCCCAGCTGGTCTTACTCTGCTTTGAAGGATCTGGGTAGGCAGCACTGGACAGTTTCTTCAGGGCTGGGGTGTTAAACTTTTCCCGAATTGGATCCAGCAACTTGTTCAGGGCAACTTCAACAGAATTCTTTAGGTCTCCAGGATGTACAACCTGTGGAAGTGAACCAGGCTGGTGAGACAAGTCCTGGAACAAGGCACACAACACCAGAATCTACAAAGAGCTGCAGAATACCCAGCAGTGTGCCCTCAGCAGCCTTGATCCTCACAATAATCTCATGAGACTGGCAGACCAAAGAAGGGAAAACAGATCCAGAAAATCTAACTGCTCAGAAAGCCAGGTCTGCCTGTCTGCCTGTCTCAGACAGATCTCAGTATATAGCCCAGGTTGTCCTCAAACTTGCCACCTTCCTGCCTCAGCCTCTTGAGCACTGGGGTTACCAAGTTCTTGCCACCCACCTAGATTGAAATCCAGAATTTTTTTTTTTTTTTTTGGTATATATACGTTTTTTTTTTGTTGTTGTTTGTTTGTTTTTGTTTTGAGACAGGGTCCTCTTGTAGCCCTAGCTGGCCTGGAACTCAGAGATCCGTCTGCCTCTGCCTCCTGAGTACTGGGATCAAAGGCTTGTGTCACCACGCCCGGCCAAAATCCTGATCTTTCGACTTTGAATTCTATATTAACTTGAGGGTTTTTAGAGGCTGAATATATTTATTAGTCTAATTCTGTTAGTCTTTCTGTTTATGCTTAGAGACATAAACCAAACATTATTCACATAGGTAACCCAAGGGCCAATGACTGAGTGAGAGAACAAAGGTTCTGGAGTTAGACATACAATCATCAGATACCCAGTTAGCAGTATGATGCCCCGAAGTGGAAACTTAGTCTCTTTAAATTCTGACTTATTTTTGAGGTACTAGGGATTGAACCCAGGATCTTGTACATACTAGGCAAGCTCTCCATCAATGAGCTACACCCCCAGCCTGATTTTCACTTTTTTACTTAGAAACTGAGAATAATGGGCTAGCATGGTGGTTCACAGTTGCGAAGCTGAGGCAGGAGGATTGGCTGGAGTTCAAGGCTAGCTACAGTATAAGACCTGTTTCAGAAAACAAAGAATTAAAAATAAGAATGAAGCCGGGCATGGTGGCACACGCCTTTAATCCCAGCACTCAGGAGGCAGAGGCAGGCCGATCTCTGTGAGTTCAAGGCCAGCCTGGTCTACATAGTGAGTTCCAGGACAGCTGGGGCTAACCCTTTTAAAAAAAAAAAAAAAAAAAAAAAAAAAAAAAAAAAAAATCGCAAAAAAAAGAATGAGGATGACAACAGGTATATCTCAGAATCAGAATGAAAAGTAGGTAAAGAAACACGGTGAGTGTGGCGAGTGGTGCTAGAGCACACTAGTAGAGCTGAGCATCCCTCATCTGAGAAGCTGCAAAGTGACAACATGGGAGAAATCCCCATATAATCTCATGTGAACTATCACAGTCAACAGGTAGGCACATTAAGTGACTCTACTAAATTACTTCCAGGTGTGTAAAGTATATATGAGACAATGAATTTTTTTTGTTGTTTTTCGGTCTTTTTGAGACAGGGTTTCCCTGTAGCCTGAAACAATGAATTTTGTGTTTAGTCTTGGGTCCCATCTCTAAGACATCACATTATATATGTAAATATTCCCAATCTGAAGAAAGTTGAAATTTAGACCACTTCTGGTCCCAAGCATTTTGGATAAGGGACAGTCAACCTGTGGTTTGAAAATTTATTTTTGTCTTGTGTCCTGTAATTCCCTCTTTATACCTAAATCTGGCCTAGAAGGATTTAGATATTCTGAAGGGACGTCCTTAGGTCTGAGTATTTATAATACATCAATGACCACATTCTTGTTTCTGATGCTACTTCTTCATTTCCTTGGGAATAGATAACTGAACAAAAGCTTAGACCTGCTGCTGTCCAATAGAGGAGCCACTAGACTTACAGTAAATTAAAATCCAGTTTCTTGGTTACAGTAGCCATACTATAAGTGCACATGTTACCAGATGCTTCTATGTCAGGCAGTGCAGAAAGAACATACATAGACATGCCCACCTTGAAATTATCATCACAAGCACCGTGAGAATACTCAACTGCAGGCTTTTCCAGAAGCATTCCTTCTAGCTCTGTTCAGTGTCCCCACAAAGGACTGTTTTAGGGGCGAGGAACAGAGTGTGGGTTCTGTGGCCTGCCTCAGACAGCAGAGAAGGGTTTCAGAGCAACATGTGCAGCACATACCAAAGTGGGCCACACATGTTCTGACCTCAGAGGTCACTGAGTCTTTCTTCCAGCTGCTACTCAAACCCACTTGCACATAGTGCTGCCTCCAAATGGGCCTCCAGCTGCCACCCCTGCACCTCTAAGGGAAGGGAATGCAAGGTCAAGTGAGGTGGCTCTACCAACAACTGAAGTCATTAGAAAGTTCCTGCTAGGTCTAGAGCTACAGTGTTCAGTGATGCAGCACTTAACATAGCATGTAACAAGTGCAGGGCCCCAGGTTCAACTCCCAGTATAGAAAGCAACAGAAAGTGTCTCCTGCCTTTAATTCCAGTACTTGGGAGAGGGAAGCAGGCGGATCTCTGTGAATTTGAGGCTGGTCTACCCAGCAAGTTCTAGGTCAGTCAGGGCTATAAAGAGACCCTGTCTCAAAAAATAAATTACCCAGGCATGGTGCCTTTAATCCCAGCACTCAGGAAGCAGAGGTAGGCAGATCTCTGTGAAATAGAGACCAGCCTGGTTTACATAGGGTGTTCTAGGCCAGCTAGGGCTACAGGGAGAACCTATCTCAGACAAAAAAAAAAAAAAAAAAAAAGTTTCTCCTGATGCCAAAGTTAAGCTCACTTTCCTGTCGTCCCTGTTCATAGTCTCACTAGCCCTTTGGAGACTCAAGAGGAGACCTTTCCCTGGAAACCCCCATATTTGAAGACTGCTTTCCAGCTAAACAATCCTACTTCTTTTTAAACAGGTTTTATTTTACGTTTAATTATGTGTTTATATGTGTGTCTGTGTGTTGCTCTGTGCACATGAGTACAATGCCTGCGGAGGCTAGAAGAGGGCACTGGATCCCTGGAGCTTAAGTTGCTGGCAGTTGTGAACTACCAGATGTTGGTGCTGGGAACCAAACCTGGGTCCTCTGCAAGAGCAGTATGCATTCTTGAGCAGCAAAGCCATCTCTCCAACTCTGTCCCCACTTCTTTTAACTATACCTCATGACATAGTTTTGAGTTTCTAATCACAATATCCTTTCTTCCCTAACTAGCATACCTCAGATCGTCATATAACTTTTCAAATTTGAATCCAGGGCTGACTGTCCAACTTTAATGTACTTACAATGCTGAGGAACAGATTGGGTGTTACATCTCTGGCTCTGGAGTCTACATATCACAACAGTCCAAGAACCCATGCTAACATTCCTAGAATTTGATGAACGTTTCTAATTATCGATTCAACCTAAGTTCGCAGTTCATCAAAACTTCCAGTTCATTTCCTATACACCATTTCTACATCTTTGTGACCTGGACCTACCTATATCTTCCCATAATGCCCCACCTCACCTTTTGGACTCCAGTCAGAGCAAAGCACTTGTGATTAGTCATATAGTCTGCCATTTCATCTTACTATGTATGCCTTTACATAATTAATTCCCTCACAAATTTCCCAATGAACTCCTAACCCATATTCCTTAAGCTAAATAAGTGCTCAGATACTATATGCGCCACAGTTTTTATTAGATAGGTAGTTCATCATTTTCTATTTTATGTATGGGCAATTTACAATCATTAATTGCTTCTTAGCTTTGGTTAGATCAAGTATAGTCATCCCTTGCTGTCCCTAGGGAACAGGTTCCTTGACTCAATCCCCAACCTATGGATTATGGATACCAAAGTTTGTGAGTCCCAAGTCCTATATATAAACTGGCATAGTACTCCATATAACCTATATAGTTCCTACTATATACATTATGTCATTTCTAGATTACTTAAAATATCTACTACAACATAAATAACATAAATGGTTGTTAAATTATGTTGTTTAGGGAATGACCCCCCCCCCAAAAAAAAACCCCCCAAACCTCTCTATGTTTCGTACATATGCAATTTTCTTTGTTGGAGTACTTTGGCTGAACTCACAGGTGTGAAATCTGTAGACATGAGGAGATATTACTTCAGCCCTTTGGAGAGTGATAAAAACATCATATATTAGCTTTGTGCCATCTGCCTACTTAATCTATAAACTTGAATCCACATCTAAGTCATCAACAAGACACAGAGCCTCGGAGAGTATCCAGACAGGGCTGTGTGGCTCACTCACTAAAGACTGGCAGACAGTATTACCTCAGCAGCAAAGTCCTTTTCCAGGTCCAGGTAAACAGTATAGGTTTTGTTTCCACCCCATTTCTCATCTCGAAGGATCACAAACTCTACAAGACACCAACAAACACATTAAGTAACAGTAGATATGATATTCCTAGTCTAAGTGTACAAATATTTGTAGTTTTTGCTATGTATATTGAACTCATTTATGGCATTTACTTCTGCCCCCTTGCTGGCCCCAGCATTTCTCTTTCTTTTTTTTTTTTTTTTTTTTTTTTTTTTTAAAAAAAAAAAAAAAAAAAAAAAAAGAGGACGATAAATCTTTCACTGTGATATATCAAAATAA